TTAGGGTTTAACTTTAGCTATCAATTTATGTGTTCAGTTTTTTAAAATTTAATTTTAACATATGACATTTAGTCTTATTATTTTTTTTTATTGGTTTGTTTCGTTTTTTTTTAACAAAAGGTTAACTTCTAGGGATAGTTATTTTTAAAAGATATTTCTTTGTTTGCAATAATTTATTCCCCAAAAGTTCCCCAAAGAATGGAAAACGGGATTAATAATAAAGATACCAAAAAAGGGCGACAGAAGATATTGCGAAAACTGGAGAGGAATCACACTTCTGAATACTATAAATAAATTAACAGCAATAATTATAAACAACCGACTAACAAAGAGTGTAGAACCAATGTTGAGGAAGGAACAAGCCGGTTTCAGACCAAACAGATCATGCGTGGACCAAATTAACACACTAAGAATAATTGTAGAACAGTCACAGGAATTCAACTCTCCTCTCTTTGTGTGCTTTGTGGACTTCAAGAGAGCTTTTGACACGCTCACACATACGGCCATATGGAAAGCACTGCAGGAAATAGGAATACCAGAAAAAATAGTAAATCTCATCAAAGAACTCTACAGTGACACAGAAAGCAAAATCCTACACAACGGCATAACATCTGACCCAATAGCTATGCTAAACGGAGTAAAGCAGGGCTGTGTTTTATCCCCTATACTATTTAACATTGTACTGGACTCCGTACTAACAAAGGTAAACTCTAATAGAGGAATTTACTGGGGATTAACAAACAGACTGGAAGACCTAGATTACGCTGATGATATATGCCTCCTAGCACATACAAAACAGGACATGCAACTCCAAGTAAACAAAGTACAAGAAGAATCAAAGAAGGTTGGTCTAGAAATAAACACCAACAAAACCAAAGAAATGCGATTTGGTACCAGAAACAACCAACCTATTATGATCAACGACCAGAAAATTGAGAGAGTAGCGGAATTTGTATATCTGGGCAGCATAATTGACTGTAATGGGGGTACAGAGCGTGATGTACATGAAAGAATAAATAAGGCTCGCAACGCCTACAACATGCTTAACAACATATGGAAATCCAGGATTTACCCAACTAAAACTAAACTAAAAATCTTCAACACAAATGTAAAAGCTGTATTACTGTATGGCTGCGAAACGTGGAAGATATCAGCACCCATAGTACACCAATTACAAGTTTTCATTAATAGAGCGTTACGAAAAATCCTTCGTATATTTTGGCCTAACCGAATCTCCAATGAAAATTTATGGAACCAAAGCAACCAAGAAAATGTCATAAAGCAAATAAGGCGAAGAAAATGGAGATGGCTGGGCCACACACTCCGTAGACCGCCAAATGACATTGCCAGGACAGCACTGGATTGGAATCCCCAAGGCCGACGGAAAGTAGGCAGACCTAAGGGAACTTGGAGAAGGACAGTACTGGACGAAGGGAGAACAATGGGAAAATCCTGGCTTGAAATCAAAGCACTAGCCAGAAATAGAGTTCGCTGGAGACACTTTGTGGAAGCCCTATGTTCCTCTTAGGAATCTTGGGACTATATATATATATATATATATATATATATAATATATATATATATATATATATATATATATATATATATAATAATTTATTTCTGTATTATATTTGTGACTATTAATATATTGCTTTTATATTGTCTATTTTATAATTGTTTGTGGTGACACAACAATAAATGTTGTGTCAATTTTTTTTCTAACCTTTTATTTTGAGTCTCATTAAAAAAGAATATTTTGCATTTCTAATCATTATTTTCCTAGTTACAACTAGTTTGTAATGGTTATAATTAGGCACCTCAAAGTGGCGTCCTTTTTAAATTACTAGAGGTGTTTCCTATTTCTTTTTGTTTTGTTTGTCCCAAGAGATTCATGACCTTTTTGTTTCATATTTTTGTAGTTGCCCCAATCCAACCCCTTTGCCATTTACTTATCCACGACCCCAGCTCTCCTAACAAACCCTGAGTGCCGTTCGCATATGTTTCGATTATTTTGCTTGCCGTATCTCCACCCCAGTAGTTTCTGTCCCCAATTTTCTACCCCTTATATTAATACCCCATGTGGTAGGCAAAATATTTTCGTTACAACATGCAATATAACTTTAATTTAAAAGAAGCACAAGCCAAAGTAAGAAAAAAGATAACTCAAAAAAAAACGAATCATGGGAACAGAACTGCCAAAAGATCAACACCTCCATAGGAGATAGAAGAAGCACAGAGAGTTGTAGTAGTAGAGTTAAAAGTATGAGAAATAATAAGAAAAAAGACGGTATATCACCAATAACAACAGAAAAATGGGAAAAATATTTCAAAAAATTACTAACAGAACAAAGACCAGAATTTGCTAACATGGAAGACAACACGATAGGTATACGTATAAATTCATCACCATTACAAATGAGAAAATCAGAGATGAAAGAAATAACTAAATCCCTGAAAAATGGAAAATCCCCATGTCCCGGAGACATCCCTGCAGAATTAGTGAAAGCCGGTACAGACAAACTCCAGGAACAGTTAAGAAAACTCTTTCAAGACTGTTTGAATGGGGCCGAATTACCAAAAGAATGGAAATTATCTATCATGTCAACTATACACAAAAAGGGCAGCAACGATTCGTGTGAAAATTATAGAGGAATTGCGGTAAACAGCACAATAAGTAGGATGTATGGGAAACTTATTAAGAGCAAAATAGAAAATGAACAAGCTGGTTTTAGAGCTGGGCGATCCACACTAGACCTCCTGTACTCTATTACGCAAGATATTATGAAAAAAAGCCTTCAATAAAGAAGTTCACCTGGTGTACGTAGACTTACAAAAAGCATATGACAGTGTACCCCTAAGTAAACTATGTTCAACCCTACAGCAAACCAACATTAAGCATGGTCTTATCAAAGCAGTCCAAAGTCTGTATAATGGAACGACTGCAAAAATTAAAACTGGATTAAGGATATCTGAAAGATTTAAGGTCACGAAAGGACTAAAGCAGGGTTGCTGTATTTCGCCTACCTTTTTCAAAATTTATCTGGAACAAGCACTCAAGCTATGGAAAAGAAAATGTAATGACATGGGAATCCCTCTCAATGACGAGACTACACTGTACACCTTATGTTTCGCTGATGACCAAATACTGATTGCCCAGGATCATGACGATTTGAGTTACATGACTCGGAAGCTAATAGAAGAATATAACAAATGAGGTCTTGAAGTCAACACTAAGAAAACTGAAGTCATGTGTATTGGAGGACACAAAACAGACCATTATATTAGACGACGGGGTAGAAATTAGAAACTCTGATGAATACAAGTACCTACTTGGGTATGAAGATAACTCAAGATGGAACACTCGATGCTGCTATAAAAGACAGAAACATACAGGGTAGAAAAGCCATATCCATGATGAACGGCATTCTGTGGGACCAAACAATATCTAAAGCGAACAAACAACTCATATACAACACCATACTTAAAAGTGTAATCACATATAGCAGTGAAGTTTGGCCAATGAAACAAAGAACAGAGAAACTGTTACTAGCAACAAAAATGGACTTCTGGAGAAGAGCAGCAGGCAAATCAAGAAGAGATCGGATACCAAATGAGAGAATACGAGAAATGATGGGAGTCAAGCATACAATAGTTGATGACATAAAAACAAAACAGTTAATATGGTACGGCCATGTACAGAGAATGCCAGATGACAGGATTCCAAAACAGATTTTGACGTGGACACCACAAGGGAGAAGGAAAAGAGGAAGACCGAGAAGAAGCTGAAGAGAGGGAATTAAAAAAGAACTAGAGGAAAGAGAAATCCCTCCAGGCCTATGGTTGAATAGAGAAGAATGGCCGTTAGGAGTCGGAAGGCGTCGGAGAATGCTGTAAACCGATAGTTAGATAAGAGAGAAAAAAGTTGGTTGGGTATAACTTATTTGTTTATTACACAAATTATCTGCTGAATGGTAAGTTATATCATTTATTGGGTTTTACCTGATTTTGGACCGGAAATAGCTGAGGATTTTTGTATACTTAATTGAATATTTTATAATTTGTTATTTACCTGATTTTCGCAGTATACCGATGATATATTTTAGTTTTCTTTGTCGCCATAATATTAATCATTAGCAACAGTGTAATCCGTCTCTCTTTGCTTGTTCTATATATCTAATTATCCTTTTTCGGCCCATCTTTGGCCATAGGCCTCCCCAATCCTTTTCCATTGTTTTCTGTCTGTCGCTACAGTCATCCACCTAGAGCCCACCTGCTTCTTGATATTATCTGCCCGTCTCATTTGGGGCCTTCCTCTGCTTCGTTAATATTCCCACGGTCTCCAATTTATATAAGAATTTTGTTCCATCGGTCTTCTTTTTGTATTATATTGTGCCCGGAGAATCTACATTTCAATTTTGCAACTTCTTGTCTCATCCCTCACTTTTCTTTTCTCTTTTATGCGCTCGTGTCTCTTTTTATCCATTGGTCTTATGTGCAACATTTGTCTTTCCATTGCTCTTTGGGTTTTTATGGTTTTGTCCATGTTTGCTTTTGTAAATGTACACGTCTGGGAACCATAAGTAAGAACAGGGAGTACACATTGATTGTATACTTTGGTCTTAAGATGCTGTGGATATCTTTTGTTTTTAAGAATGTAGCTTAGTTTGCCAAATGCCGCCCATGCCAGTCTAACTCGTCTTTTTATATCTGCTGTTTGGTTCTCTTTGTTAAGTTTTATAGTTTGTCCCAGATATATATATATATATATATATATATATATATATATATATATATATATATATATATAATCCTGAACTTGTTCTGTTTTATCTTGCCCGATTCTCATTGTGATGTCTTCATCTCTATTTGTTATGGTTGTGGTCTTGCTGTAATTCATATTAAGGCCTATCTTTCCCACTTCTATGTCCAGTTCTTTCATCATTTCAAATTTTGCTAGTTACTAAACTAATAATAAGGTTAAGGAAAATGATTAATATAATGCAGATTTTAAACTTTATTATAATAACGTTTTGTGTACAAGATTTTAAATGTTTACATGTTAAACTTTAAATTTATTCTTCATCTGGTTCCTCAAGATACAAGTTTGTTTACAAGCTTTGTTTAAATACTTTTTCTATTGTCTATAACATGCACCTGTATTAACTTGATTTAATCCAAGTCGTGCTGGAGAGGCTTTAAGTACAAAAGGAGTTGCGGACATGCTTTGGAAGGAACCAGTTTGAAAGCAATTGGCCAAGATTTGGGAAAAGACATTTACTGAAAAGTTTAGATATTGTCCTCCAACAAAACCTACAGGTAATAATAATGCAATATCTATTTGAAAACCATTACTAGTTGTTATAGTATTCATTTCAATATCAAGTTGGGGGAACACAGATGATGGTGGATAAATCACGAACACAGGACCATTATTACAATTACAATTACCACTACTATCAACTTGTTGTAAAATGAAAGTTTGGCTTCCTGGATAAACAGCTGTTGAACAAAGGCAAATTCCGGGTGTTGCAATATTATTGTTAGTGTGAGTGTCAGGCTTAGAATACGGACAAGCACAACAACCATTTTCAAAATTAAAATATTTATCGGTTATTGGATAAAAAGTATAGTATATCCAAGATTTTACTGAATTTGAGATTTTTGTAGGACAAACACATAAATAGGTAACTCCAGGATAATATACCGGAGCATATATTGGAAAACCAGAATTTATTTCGTTTGGTGGTTGCTGATTATTATTGACATAAGGACAGAAGCAGAAAGTAGATCCCGATTCCTCATATTTTTGCTTTGACTTTATATCAATAAGGAAACAGTACCACTCAATTTGTCCCATTAGCGTAAAATAGGGAGCCATACATACACATTTGTTTTTTTGGATTGGTTTTGGTTTGTGTTTCTGAGTGTTGTCAACTTCCGAAGGAGGAGTTACAGCAGTTGGTGGACAAAAACAATATCCGGATTCCCCATTATTTCCACCTGTATGAGATGTTGGGGGTGATATAACAAATAACCAACTTATCTCATTATTCTTATTCAATTTTATAGATAAACACAGGCAATATTCAGGCCCAATTATGTCACCCCATGGCTTTGGTGGTTGTTTAGTTGGTTTAGGTTTTGCTGTAGGATGTGGAACTTTTGTTTGTGGATTTTTCGATATGTGATCTGGTGATGGTCGCGTTGTAGGCCATGTAGGCCACGTTGGTGGTTTTGTAGGCCATGTTAGTGGTTTTGTAGGCCATGTTGGTGGTTTTGTAGGCCATGTTGGTGGTTTTGTAGGCCATTTTGGTGGTTTTGTAGGCCATGTTGGTGGTTTTGTAGGCCATGTTGGTGGTTTTGTAGGCCATATTATTGTTCCTGTATGCTGGTCGCCTGGTGTATCTGTAGGATATGTTGGTGGTTCTATAGGCCACATTGGTGATGTAGACCAGTTTAGTGGTTTTAAGGTAGACCATTTTATTGGTGGAAAGGTAGTCCATTTGATTGTAGGGAGGGTTGGGTATCGAGTAACTGGTGGTGGCACAATAATAGTAATATTTAGATACTGATCCGGATAACTTGGCAATGGATATCCATTGATCCCATTGTTCTCTACTGAACAAGTGCAGCCACCATTATTCTTATGTGGCTTGAATTCAATGTAAAATTTATTTTTGTAGTTATTATAAAAATCTACTATTTCACAGAGACATATTTCGTAGGTTATGTCAATTATCTCTGTACTAGGTGGTTCTTGTACAGGACATGAACAATAGATATTGTTGGGATCCGTATTCTTGATTGGAAATAGAATATAATAAAGACCTTTGGTTTTATGAAGCGAATTGGATGGACAAAGACAGACTCCAGGATAAAATACTCTGTTCATATCAACGACTGGAGGATATACTATTATTCCAGAGATCGAAACATTAAAATTAACATTAACTGTAGGTTTGTATGGACATAAAGTAAATGTCGATTCAGAAGTGGTTAAACTGATTTCTAAATCTTGATTTAAAATTTGATAATTCCAAATATTCTGTTGATTTCGTTCAAACAACAAACAGAATCCTGGTTTAATATATTCGGGTGGAGTGGTTATGATTATATTTTGTGATATATGATAAGATGGACAGAAACAAAATTCTTGCCCGTTATAATTCTCAATTAGAAATTTACTTTGTTTAGAAAAGAACCAGTTTTCAATCTGAGAGTTGGTTACATCTGTAATAGAAAATAAACAGATACACGTTCCAGGTTCTAACAAGTGTTTTTCTTGAGAAGGGACTAGATCTGGTACAATATTACCTCCGTTATCTTCAGGAAGTGGTAATAAAGTAATATTATAGCTGGTGTCAGGTATCATGGAACACGGACAATTTGCTGATTCGTCATTTTTTATTAAATAAAAAATGGTTTTCTTGTTATTATCTGAGCATAAGCAAATGTAAGTATTGAATTGAGGTTTTATTGGAGCTACTGGAAATTCTATATCAGGACAGAAGCATCTGTTGTTACCAAATGTTTGGTCAAAAAGTATTGGCCATAAGGAGTAGTGAATTCCCTTATTTTTTGCGTTTACGGAAGGACACAAGCACACTCCAGGCTTACGAATATATCTTTGGTCTAAAGTCACGATTATTTGTGCTTCATACAGTATTAAACCAGGAATCATTTGTTCTGAGAAAATATATGGATTACAAGCAGGTGGGCAAATACAAAAATCATAACCTTTATCATTTGCACCTGCATTAAGAAGAACGTATATCCAGATATTTAAACTAATTTCTCTTTTAAAACATAAACAAGTACCAGGCTGAATAAGTTCATTAATGTTTATTGGTACTACAGTGCTATCAGATGCATCTCCAGGAGGACAAAAGCAGAATCCTTTTTTATTTTCTATATTGGGCGAAAGTACATGTTTTAAATTAATAAACCATTTTATTGTGTTAAATGATAGAACCGGAGATAAACAAACGCAAATTCCCGGTTCTATTTGGTTAAGTTGTTTCTCTTCTTTGTCTTTTTTATCTTCTGAGGGTTTTAGGTCAGTTTCTTGAGGAATTATTGGATAATACTGCCCATCCAAACAATATTGGCTTAGTTTAACATTTTCTATCAGTTGCAAAAGAGGCCACACTTCATTTATATTTATGTTTGGTACATTTTCTGTACATAAAATAATGTGAGAAGGCCTAGTATTAGGTGGTAGGAAAAGGTCTGCATTGGGATATGGACAAGAACAAATTGTGTCTCCATGAAGAGGTCGCAAAAAATAGTTAAATATTTTAGTATTTTCAGGAAATTTCAAATTTGGATTTGGACATAGGCAATAGCCGGTCTGCTCTATATCATAACCTGCAACATTAATTTGATGTGGCGGGTAAATGATAAAACCTGGATATGGATATAAATCTTGATAAATATTACCGATTTCTCCTCTTGTATTCAGACAAAAACCTAATTTTGCTTCTTTGGGTATTTTTCCAGTATTGCGATTTAAAAGAAAATAATACCAAACTGGTGGTGAACCCTTTTTCTCTTTACAATATAAACATATAATAAAATCAGCGCCTATAACTCCTGATTGTGTTTCGAGTTGTACCACAATTTGGTTTATGTCTAGATTTAAATTTGGGTTTTTATTCACGTAATAAGGGCAAAAGCAAAAACCAGGTTGTTGATTATTAAGATGTTGGGCTAATGAATGATCTAATAAAAAGTATGCCCAACTTTGCTGACCTGCTGGTACATTACCTAATATGGGAGATAAACAAATACATTGACCAGAAGGTATGCCATTTATTGAAAATCGATTGTTTTCTATCAACTGAGTAATAGATATAGTTATTAAGTAAACATTGCTTTTAATGGAAATTGGAAAATTAAATTTAATGACTGGTTGATTGGTTATATCTGGAAACCTAGTATCAAGTGATACATTAAACCTATTAGCTATTCCATTAATTATATAATAATAGTAATTGCCGTTTATCCAGGAAAAATAAGAATATGCATCTTTGGGCCAAGCAAAATATGGGTATTTTTCGCACATCTGTATGACATTATCGTAATTATTATATATCCAATTAATGTAGGAACTAAAATTACTTTGCATCCAACTAGAGTTATAATATTTGTTTTCCTGATAATTCCAAAAAGGGTATTGAAAAGAGGGCCAAGAAATTAATGGAAAGCTGTTATTGAAAGTGTATTTTAGGTCGCCCAAGAAAGATGAATTAAAATATGGAAGCTCAAATATTTTCCAAAAGCTAGCATTTACTAAAGAATTATAGATATTACTATCCGGAACTGGAACCGTAAAGTTGTAACGACCAATTATAGTCGGTTGTGTAATCGTATAGTTATAGACTTTTGGAGGATAATATACAAAACCAGGACCTCCAATTTGTCCGATTTGTCCACCCCATATATTAGTTTGTCCGATTTGTCCACCAAATATATTAGTTTGTCCGATTTGTCCACCAAATATTTTAGTTTGTCCGACTTGTCCACCAAATATATTAGTTTGTCCGGCTTGTCCACCAAACATATTAGTATTAAAATCTATTGAGTTACATGAGTCGCATTCGTAGTTTTCATTAAAAGAAATCAGATTTTGTCGTTTTCGTACAGGGGTAGAAAAAGCATCATCAGATGAGTCTTCTAATCCTTTCTTTAGATGTGAACCGGTGGAGGAATTTCCTTTTGTAGTAGAGTGTGACTCTGGCCATGCTGTTATTTAATAAAATAATTATAATTAGCTACATGTGTTTTTATTTAAGGTATTATCCCCATTTTTTAGTTACTTTGAAAAGCATTAAAATTAGTAAAGAAAGAGTGAGAAGAAGAAACTGAAAAGCATGAATGTTTACATACGGTACCTCCAGATCTATAGAGGCACAACTCAAAAATTTGTCCTTTAATTTTATTTTTGAGTTATACTCCTATTTTTTATGTGTCATGTTAGATTTTTAACATAATATAGAGGCACTTTTTTAGACGTGCCTTTTTAACAATATTTTATTGTTTCTTTGTACCGTAAACACAGGCACTTTTTGAGTTGTGCCCTTTGAAGTAATAGGTAAACAATTAAAATTTTGAAGTTAAATATCGAAACGCAACCGTCATTTATTTTAATTAAAATTTTAGTTGGACACGTATTACCACAAATAAAGTTACAGCTGATTTCTAATTGTGATTATACTGAATGAAAATGAGGTTATGTTATTCAACAACTTTATTTTCGTTTAGTGTGTGTGTTTCACGGGTTAAAAAAATACTTGATTTGTGTATAAATAATGTACTCAGCGATGAAGACGAAACTTCAGGACCACTGAATAAAGTACATACAAAATGTGAACAAAATGATCCTTTGAATGAGGCAACCAAAAAGTAAATGGTTTCGAAACCAATCTAATACTAGATTTTAAGTAAATTTACCAAATAATTTTGTATGAAGTTATTTTGTGCATTATTGATTAGGGGTATGATCAATTAGCCCAATTTAACACTCGTGTGGAGGCACTGGTGCAATAGTGCTACCAATATTACTTTATGAGTGGGTGGCGGGTGACTCTTGGGTTATTTGTTTTTATACCTCTCAGTATCTTCCTAGAAATTGTCGAGGAAGTGTTAGTTGAATTTGTGCGATTTAATTTCGTTAACGTCTTTGTCTACGACAACTTAAATTTAATTGGATCATTTTTGCTACCACGCGTCCAGTCATGTAAGTAAATTAATTTTTATTTTTTCTTTATAAGTAATAATATTTTTTCTGCTACTACTAATTTTAGATTGCTAAAAAAATGTCGTTTACCAGTTTCTTTGTATTACAGCGTTGCCAAAACTTACATTTTACTTTATTTTAGGGCAAAAAGACTTACGGAGGAAAAGCTTCGAAAATTTTTAGAAGATATGTCTGATATAGAAGAAATTAATTACTCAGATGACGGAGAATGGAGCGCAGAAGACGGAGAGATTGTAACCAAAGAAGACCATAATTTAAGTTCAGAGGTAGAGTTGAAAGACATTGAGGAAAATGAGGCTGTTTATGCTAGTGACTTCGGTTCTGATAAGGAAGTAGATTCTGACAGTCTACCTAGCGAAATTGGTAATAACTTTTATACCGGTAGAAACAAGAACACCAAATAGAGACAAACTAGTTACCATTCACAAACTTTTAAGACCAGTTCAAAAAATTTTTTAAAAACGAATCCTGGTCCAAAAGGGACTGCAAAAAACGTTCCCACCGAGATTGAGGCTTTTTTGAAATTAATTGATGATAGCATTATAAATGATATCGTGCATTTTACAAATCTGTATATTGAAAAAAAAGAGAAAGGGGTTAATTATAGCAGAGAAAGAGCAGTTAAAGTTACAAGTAAATCTGAAATGATGACTTTGTTTGGATTATTGTTTCTAATTGGTACTAAAAAAGGAAGTCGGACTAATGTCCAGGAACTGTGGACAAATGACGGAACACGTTTGCCAATTTTGAGGGCCTGCATGAGCTATAGGAGGTTTCAATTATTGCTGCGATGTATAAGGTTTGACGATAAAGAAACACGAGAACAACGTAAAAAATTGAATAAACTGGACGCAATTAGAGTATTTTTAGACAAGTTTCAAGACAACTGTAAGAAATATTATAATCACAGTTACTATGCAACCACAGATGAAAAACTGGAACCTTTTAGAGGACGGTGCAGCTTTATCCAATATATCCCGAATAAATCGGCCACATACGGTTTAAAAATTTTTGCGCTTTGCTATGCCGAAACTTATTATACCAGTGCTTTTGAAGTTTACTGTGGCAAACAGCCTGAGGGCCCCTACTGTAAATCTAACTCTCCATCTGATATAGTAAACAGACTAGTTGTGCATATAAAAGATACTAATAGAAATCTGACCACCGATAATTGGTACACCAGCTATCCTTTGGCAGGTTCACTTTTGAAACAAAAAATTACATGCCCAGATTTTATATTATAAAAGTAGGGCAAAGAGGCCAAGAAGAATTTTTTTTTTTTAATTTATCATTTCAACTTATGAAATTTCACTTAGAGAAAAGGTCTACAATGTCGTCGTTACCTTGAGATATTCAGTTATTTTTAACGACTTAAAAATCAAAAGAAGCTGCACAAAAACATAATGCACCAAGAAAAAAGCGGGGACGTTGCGCCATATGCGGAACAGAAAAATAAATTTACGTCACAATTGTGTGACAAATGTCTGAAACATGAAACGTGAAACGTGAAAATGTGTGAAACCCAAGAAGATGGAGACAAACTACGCGATTGTCTGCACGAAGAGACTGCAATGCATATTTAAATTTGTTCGTTCTATTTTGGAAAATATGACTTTAACTAACTTGATTTGTTTATTTAATGAAAAATAAAAAAAATTTTTTAGATCACAATCTGTCATTTTGTGTGCAAAACCGGATATATCCAATGTTTTTTTGCTAATAACGAGTTGTTCACTTTTTTTTTTAAATATACGTTACTCAGTTAATAAACCCCATTAAATTGAAACTGCTTTCTCAAATTAATATAATTTTTTAAAATAAAATAAATATGTCGGGTATTTTTTTCATCTCCTAAAAAAACTTAAAAAGTGGATATATCCGGTTTTGCACGCCAGCTCCTCAATTATAGACGCGTCCGCTCGGAGAGTGTCCAGGCCTCTACTCCGTATAATAAGGTAGAAAATACATAGCATCTAATTAGAGAGATTTTGGTAGCAAGTGGTAAATCATGACTTCTGAAAAGAGACTTCATCATTATGAACGCTGATCTCGCTTTTCCTATGCGTTGTTTTATTTCACTGGAGTGATCCCATTGGCTGTTAATGTTGGTATGTGTAGCTGTCCACTCTGTCAATTGGATGTTGGTTAACCAAAAGCTGTGTATTTAATTTTTCGCGCTTATTGACTACCATGTACTTTGTTTTCTTTGTATTAGGATCAAGTCCGTGTTTTCTACTTACAATAGCGAAATGCACAGAATGTTTGTGCAACAGTGTAGTGCCATTAGTACTCAAAAGGTAACTTATGCTCGTTATGCTCGTTATGCTCATGTTTTTAGTAATAATTTTAACATAGGATTTTTTAAACCAAAAAAGGATTTATGTATAAAGTGTATAAAGAGAAACATTTAAAAATGCTAGTCCTGATGGACAAGAAGGACTAAAAATTAAACATGACAAACACCTAAGAAACAAAGAATTAGCTCGGAAGCAAAAACTAGTTGATGCCGCTGAAGCAAAAAAAAAAGAAAATTTGCAAGCTATAATGCAAACACCACAGGGTGATGCTTCCCTGTTTTATTATAAAAGAAAATTGTCCACTTCTAATTTCACTATTTATAAAATTGACAATTGGAAAAGGCAAATAAAATCTGGTACTATCTTTGTTTCTTCCCAGTGGGTTACGGTACTGCAAAATGCAAAGAAAACCGGCAATTAATTTAAAATAATAGAAATAGTTACAGATGATGTAATTGATTTTAAAAGATTATCAGGGCTGATTAGGATTAACTTGTCAAAAATTCAGAAAATGATAAAGTAACAAGGAATCAAATAAAAGTAATGCATGCTAATAAGAATGAACAATTTATTTAGCTGAATATGACGAGGAATCAAACTTTTCTCAGTTTTTAAAATCAAATGTCATATCACGTAATCGTAGAAAATTAAGTAACTTGGTGCTTGAAAAAGCATTCTCCCATCCACCCTCTATATCAGATGCAAAAAAAAATGATTTGCTATCACACTGCGAAGCAAATCTTATTACAAAGCCCTATCATAATTTTTATAAAAATTTGAATTCATCATCGTAATCTTAATGATTACGATGCAGATGATATTTAATGATATAGTTGAAGATGATGTTAATTTCATAAAAGTTAATTATCTCTTTAAATATTACTGAAGCAATTGACACTGTTAAAATACATAATATTTTCATAGTACAGGTCCAATGATTACCAACATTGTATTAAATGTATTTTCAATATTTTTGTCAATAGAGTAATGAGAATAAGTTAGTAGAAAAGTTGTATTGTTTTATTAACAAACCTAAAGATGACCTATAGTGTCATATCTGTTTTATTAATGGCAAAACAGGCACTTTTAGGGTTGACATGCTTGAGATGTACATTTTTGGGTGTTACTAGGCACATGTCAAAGAACACTTTAAATATTTATTTTTCAGTGTTTTTAATGATACAGGTGTATTAAATTATTTGTATTTACATTATATGTAATTTCATAGCATAAACCTTTTTGTCTAAAACTTTTAAAGTGATTTACTCAAAACTATACTTTTTATGTTGTGCCCTTATAGATCTGGAGGTGCGAAATCTGTTCCTAGAAGGGAAGAGGCACTGTGACATGAAACTAAAACTTTTCATTACGCTTGTTTAAAGTTTTTTTAAACTTATTTGCTTATAAATAGAGAGTATGTCTTAGAAATATCTGAACAAAACTTTGTACACATATACATATGACTCTTTACATTCAAAATAATATAATTATATATATATATATATATATATATATATATATATATATATATATATGTCTCCATATCAAGGCGAGATCCGTTTGTATCATAAGCTATACAAAATGAGATCCGTTTTGCAAGGCGAGATCCGATTTTGGATCTCACCTTGTATTCACGTGTATATAGTGACATCTCGATGTAACAATGATGGGGGTACAAAGAAATCGAT